TTTTTGAAAATGGGCGTAGCCACGCCCACTTATGGTTACATGTGTATATCTTGGTAACCGCTGCATCAATTTATTCCAAACTTGGCACAGTTGTTGGCCCTGGTATAGCATACTAAATGGCCGAAAATTTTTAAAATCGGACAATAACCACGCCCACATCCCATATAACGGCAATTTCGTGAAATACGAAATGCTCGATAAATCAGTAAATATTAAAGCTAATTTATTCAAAATGATGGTTGCAACAATTCTTTGCTAGGAAATACGTTTATGATAAAATTTTGGAAAATGGGCGAGGCACCGCCCACTTATGATCACGTATATATATCTCGCTAACCGTTCTAGCAATTTGTACCAAACTCGGTATGGTTATTGTGCTTGCCACATAAAAGTAAACCATTGAAAATTGTTGAAATCGGACTAAAATTACGGCCGCTTTTCATATAACGGTAAATTTCAGAAATGCTTGAAATTTCAATATTTTGAAATTTAAGGACGCTAGTTTACTTAAAATTAATACACGATTCTGATCATTTATGTATACATTTGTCTATATCTATCTCGATTCGTTTTGCCTGTTACAAACAACCGTTATGTGAACAAAGTTATAATACCCTTGTGCACAAGTGCGCTCGGATATAAAAATAACTATCCTTATCAAATAGAACACTTCAAAAATCCCGTGGGATCAGGACGGAGTTTGCAAAATCTATGCATATTAAGAAAAATACAAATGATGGAAGGTGATGTTTAACAACAAGTAATTTTTAAGCAAAAAATAGCACCGACTTCAATGCTCATACAAAAATTTAGGATTACCGTATTTTCTTCATGACACCATGATCGGAACTAAACCAAATTAGTATGGGACTACCCTTGAGGTACCGCCTCTCCTACAAAAAAAAATACTCGAAAACGGTTCAGTGGTTCAAAGTTACCCGGTAATATATGTAAATAGAATAATATAAAATATTCCGAAGAATTGATAAACTTCCTCGTTTTTGAAGTCAGTTAATAATAAGTTTTGATTGCATATTTTCATATTAAAATTCTTAACTAATGTACATTTATTATTTTAATTACTATAACATTTACCTAAAAATCACATCTAAATACGTTTATGTAAA